CGAAGCAAATGCACCAGCTCTTTCAAAACTTCTAGAACGTCCTCCACTGACGAGAACTTGCCAATGGTTTCCTTAATAAAAGGTAACAAATGTATGAATAACTCTTGACCTAAGTCTTGCAAGGAGGCAATAAACAGGAGAATTTCCACTGATTTCAGTTCAGAAGACACATCTGACATATTCTTGGACACGGCTTGGAAAAGATCATCAGTTTTGACAGCTTGTGGAATTCTTGAGAGCTCATTTACCAATTTCGGATTACTCAATATGGCGATGATACGATCAACCTTCGCTTGGATCCCCTCAGTACCGGGAAGGTTACATTGTGTCCTAGAAACGTATGGGATTAGACGCGCCAAGGCAGGTATCAAAGTTGTGGAAATTTGAGTCGTACAAAGTAGAACATCGCCGACTTTCCTAACCAATTGCATTTTTTGCATAGTCGACAACGTGTCCGAAACAAGGATAGTTCTAGCAGCGTTTACAAAGTTCCCGAGGAGGTTGCTTCTTTCCATGGTTTGTGAAGAGGCTTCGGTGCGGCTGCGTAAGTTGCGCCTTGATAGGGTGAGAGCTGTTGATCTCGCTAAAAACAGAAGTTGCAAAGTTTCAAATGAAGAATCAAATCCCTGTGCGCTTTGAAGAATAGGAAGGCAACAAAACGAGTCAATTTCTTTCTTATACAGCCCTAAGGATATCAACCCAGCGACAGCAGCAGTCCAGACTTTTAAAACAAATGATGAGGGAAGCCGAACATGAGGCTTCAAGGCACAAAACAGCTGTTCACATAGACCAAAATCGCCTTTAAAAGTCTCAAAAACTATACGAACCAGAAGATCAAAGTAGTCATCTCCTCCTTCTATGAGGAAAACTACTTGTATTTTCATAAGCCGCAAAATGAACCTGGAAATCTTGAAACCAGTTTCAGATTCACCGTTCCAGAAGTTCCTAATCACTCTAAGTCTTCTGTTATTAGAGATTATCACTGTCGACAACCATAACAGAGTTTGGAAAAAGAGTTCAGCTGTAGTTTTGGGGCCTTTTCCATCAATAAAATTCTTAACAAGAGCAAAAATTTCACAAAACATTTCCTCTGTGCATTCAGGACTTGATGCGATGCTTTCAATAGATAATTTTAGAGTTCGCTGATCCGGTTCCTGTAAACGTTGGTCTAAAGACATAAGTTCACGAACAACGTTCTCCTTTGAAATAAATGATAATTGTTTACACAATAGTAGGGTTATCAGAACTTCTCTATCAAGTGTGGTCGCCAATCTGTGGTTCGCTATTTCACTGTGAGTAATACAAGAAAGAAGCAAAATCATCTCGTTCTTGGCTTCCTCTGTGCAGTCTTGTTCACAAACCCACTGTAAAAATTGGAAAGTTAGTACCTGAATGTTGGCGAAATATAATTGATATTGTCCCTGCACTGCTTTCCCTGCCAGTTCAGCCGCTTCTTGGATCAGCGCTAACACCTCAGGGCGTGAGTCAAAAGTGTTTGGAAATATCTTTAAGAGAAAATGAAAGATATTATGCCAGAATGGCATCAAGAGTAATATAGGGCGACGGAGTCGTTCTAGGAAATTAAGTATCCTCTTGGCCGTTTTCCTTTCGTTATTTGGATCTTCCTCGAAAATAGCCAACAAGCACACAAGAGTTGCTGGCCTTGGATCATCTGAAAAAGCACGGCTCCAGAATTCCATGATCTCTTTCAAAAGTTCACCCTCTGGACGTAGTAGTGAAACTTTCAAAACAAGTTCAGTCGCTTTCACAGTAAAGTCAGTTTCCTGTCTTTGTTTGTGAAGGAATACTTCAAGAGTTTGTCTCAACAAGTCATTTGAAATACTTTTTGCCGCTAGTAACTGGAGTGATAATGAAGCAATCTTAGGATGGACACAAAACTGACTAACATGACTGAAGAATATTTCCATCCTATCCTTGTCGTTAGGAATACTCAAGTCGCTACAGTTTCTATTGATCTCTAACAAAACTTTCCAAAAGTATGAAATGGTAGATTGGTATGGATAGTTATAGGCTTGACATCTGACTATACCTGAAAAGAATGGTTCGATTTTCTTTCCGGAGAGATCAATCTCTCCCAGAGCAACGGCGAAACCACTGCTAACATTTGCTAATTCCAGAAGCTTCATCCACTCTACCAACAAGAAAGACGAAAGCGTTTTTTCGCCTTGCGATGTCGCATCCTCGACTAGTTTAATTGCAAGTTTTTCATCAGCAGTAGCAAGCCTCACCGTTTGATTAATCATTTCTAAGAGGTAGCCATCGTGTCGCCTCCTTTCAAAAAGATCAAGAATTTTTTCAAAGAAATCGCTAGTAGTAACATCACGTCTGCGGAACATTTTAAAATTCGACGATGATTCCAGCTCAGCTTTAATTCTTCTGTGCTGAAAAGTCTGCACAAGTTCGAGCAACAGGGAAACAACTGTGACTGGTAGGCTTTGCTCGTTATCTGGGGGAAAACAGAATTTCAAAGCACATAGGTAAAGGTCAAAAGAGATTCGCATCGGAACCTCTCTGGTGTAGCAAAAAGATGCACAGATGTCGAAAAGCTTCGTCACATCTTGCAGAATTTGGACTGAAGATTCTCTTGCTGATTTTTGACGTGGAGCAATTCCTACATTGAAAATTTCAATGATGTGGTAACCCTGTAAACTCTGAATCTTATCAAAGAAACTCTCCCGTTGTATTTCGTCTTTGAAGGGCAGCACCGCTAAGGTTGTCAGAACTGTTCCTAACTCTTTAGCGTACTGACTAGAGAGGCTTGAATTCTGCTTCACAATCTGCTGAATATGTATTTGAACACTGTTTGGCAGCTCTAATGTTTCAAGTTCTATCTTCTCGTCCATCGTCACTCAAAACCGGAGCTGATTTTACCTTGCAGATTTTTGTATCTTTTAAGCATCACTTCACTGGGTCTGTCAGTGGACTCACACTTTTCCTTTAAAGGTAAATCGAACGCTCAATTGAACAACTTAAACAAATTCTAATTTTATTTCTCGAGAAATTTAGTAATTAAAAAATACAACCAAACTAACCATCAGATACTAACGTGTGGTACTGATAAGCAAACAGATTAATTTATGAGGGCTTTTCACACCCTCTTCCAATGTTCGAGCACTCTTGTGGGCGAAAATTTTTTTAAGTGGATGCAAACAATTTTGCTGACGACCAAAAAAAAATTTACCTTTGATTTATTTTTGATTTTAGATAAGTCATTCTCGTTCAGACGTTTCTGAGCGGATCTTTTGAATGCAATGTAGAATCTGAACATCAGTGAACAGTAACAGGAGCACTCTAAAAGACAGTGGCTATATTTGGAAAAAAATTTACAACGATTGCATTTCAAACCGATCAAACCATGGAAGACGAGCTGGTGCAAAATTTGTCAAAATATCGTTGTTATTAATTTTCTCAGCTAAACACCGCTCTGGAAAATTCAATATTCAGACTGACTGAGTAATTCCAGCTGTTCTGAAACTCCCACGTTCGAACATGAATAAGTTAAGTGCAATTTTTAAACGGCGACAAATCCCTGAAACGTTCAAAGTTTTTGAGCTCAGTCCTAGCGACGAGGCGAACCAATGCTTCATGCTGTATCTGATCTTCTCAAATATGAAGTATATCCGTTGACAACATTTGCTACGTACTTTGAAGCCTTTCACGGGTAGTTTTTGAATGGAAAAGATCTAGTGTCGAAGAAAATAGAAACTTACGTCAAACTTACTGTGCCTTCCACTTGATATCCTCAGCCTCATCAGAAAATTTCATTTCGTCTTTCACTTCTGAGAAATATTGATTCTCGGAAAACAATCGAATACGGTTGTACCGCTGACACAGATGCGCGGTTACACAGCCTGCCTGTCGTACGCGTGTCACCAGAGGAAGATAAAGATTCGGAAAAATTCTTTACACGTTCGGAAATTATAGTTTTGAGAAATTGTAACAAATTTTGAGGCTTTTAAAATATCAATATCTATGTCATATCTAGAAGATAGATAATTTATCTGCCTCAAAATGGATGATGTATCAAGGCTATTTGGTTTGAGTTTGTGCATGTTCGTTGGATGTTATTTAGCGGGTGCAATTCCTCTGGCCTTCACGATGTCTGAGGTAAGCTTGTCATCGGAAAGATTCCAATGCTTATGCGAGCTGATATTCGATGGAAAAGCCGCAAAAGTTACGATCTCAAACCATTAGTGTCAGTAAGCTAGAACCACAACGTGTCCCAATGCTGGGATAAATCTTTTAACCGCTGTACATAAAGATAACAATGATAAATTTCGGTTTCAGATCAGCGTTAGACTGAAAATTTATTTAATTCCAAATTTGATTGTGTAAGCTTTAATCTTTTGCCTTGGTCAGCTTGCAAAAAGGTAAAGCTCAGAGGGTTGTTTACCGGCATAAAATCACCTTAATCATTAATTCAATAATGCATCAGTATCAAGAAACGGGGAAGTTGTTCTTTTTACTCGACCGTTGCTTGATTTACCTTCTGATGTGAGTCAATTTAATGGATCAAACGGCCAGAATTTACGTGGAACTCAGAAATCTTATTTGTTTTCACTCCTCGCTGACGGATCGATATGGTAATGATATTTGTTTAGATCAGTTTTGCCCACCGTGCAATTTTACTTCTCTTTGTTCTTGGAAGTGCAAATAAAATTTAACAACACAGAGAATCGAATCACAATGAAAGAAAACATTATATAATTTTGATGATTTTGATTTTTTATTTTGTGTTGAAGTTTTATTTATTATTTCTCACTCATACAGTATTTTTGTTGTTGTTGTTTTAAACAGAAGAGACTGAGGATGGTCAGTATTCTAGGGGCAGGTCTGTTGGTGGGAACTGCACTTGCTGTTATTATTCCAGAAGGGGTCCATGCTTTATATGAGTCGGATCAACATGGTGAGAAGTCTGTGTCTTTTGTAAGAATAATTACGCAATACTTTTCACCCTTTAATTCCCAGATCAAATTTGTAATTCTCCTTACTGTCAACTGCACAATTCTTATGTCAGTTCTGAGAATTTAGTATTGGATCAACTAATTATTCCCAAATTTATATTTTTCTTTATTCTCATCACTTATCTGGTTGATATTGTATTGATATTGTAGGGAGAAATTCTGTCTTGGTCACTTGTGGGAGTTAAAGGGTTAAAAGGGGTGATAAATGGTTCCCTGAGAAATAGTGAGTTTTAATAACTCTTTAGATCTTGCCAGCCTTTGTAATGAGTCTTGAGATTCTCTTTAATTTATAAATAAGTGTTTTTTGTTGGGCTCAAGGTTTTCTTTCTATAAAAGTTCTTTATGACTGTGTACACCTGAATATACTGCGTTTGAACTGAGGATTGATTAATGAAGATGAGGGTGATCATTGCCATTAAATTGAACACTGTGTTTGCAATAGTGAAAAAAAAGCCTGGAAATTCTTTTGTTTAGGCATTATTTTCACTACTCCTTAAGTAGTGTTCATAACTGTAAAAATCACTCTCATTTTCATCTACATTGTAAACGTTTAGAATTTGTTTTGTTTTGTTTTGTTTTGTTTTCTAAGCTAAAGGTCCTTTTTAAACGCGAGGTATTTGCTTTTAGTTGTCCCTGCAACAAACAAATGTCTCTGTAAAATCACTGCCATTTGAAATTGTTGTGATATACATGCAGCTCGGTTGATACATCTCCAAAATGGATTTCAATGTAAACATTTTCTTGTCATCATCATCATCAGTACTTTGCATTTACTCTGAGTAAAGCAAATTTAAAGTAAGGTTTACAGCTAAACATCGTTTAATTTGGGTCATGGATTTCTAACAGGGGTCTTGGCATAGGTGCCATTTGCAATGAAAGTAAACACAATAGTATCAGCTATGCTTAAAATAAAAAATGATATATATATAACTAAATAAATGACAAAGAGTGGAGATACAATTATTTTCATCAATTCAGAGAGGTCTGCAATAAAAATGACATATGTGTGTAATTTCTTCGAAACGGTCTTTGTGTCCATAGATGCTTGGTTACTTTTATCAGCATCCCATGACCACTAAAGCTCCACCCTTTAGAGAGAAAACTAAGAAGGGAAAAAAGGAACATGAGCACTATTAAAGCAAGCAAGCACTCCAAAAACAACTTTGTTGAAGAGCATTTAAAATGGAAATTATGTGAGATTTATGTCTGGGAATGAAAGATAGTATTAAACCTTTTAACTTCATTTCTATTTTTTTTTTGTAAAGTACACTCTTCCCATACCCATGGTGCACACAAGCACTTGGCAGGTACCAACATAGATGCCACGCAGTCTCATGAAGACCATGATGAAGCTCATACACAAGTAGATGTACTAAAGAACCAGATTTCTCAAGTTGAACCTGATGTATTTATTGGTCTTTCCTTATGCTGTGGATTTGTGTTCATGCTGCTGATTGATCATATCAGTGGGGGCCACGCACATGCTCCCCCTACATCAGGTGTGTGTTATTCAACTCTAGTATATAGCATTCTCTTCAATGAGTCTCTCGCAAAGAAAAAAAACAAAGCAAAACAAAAAACAGTTTTATGTGTTCACCAGAATGATCACACACACACAAGAGAGGATGTTTCCTTGCAAACCATGCCTGTGCATAGCAGTAACTTTTGAATTTAGTCAGAGCTCTTGATTTAGGATACTGGTCCAAAAAAATGCAGAATTTGAGAAGAAAGTGTGAGTAACTTGCATGAAATTCCTCTCAGAATCTGCATTTTGTGTGGGATGTAATGCAATACATTTTAAATGTATATCAGGAAACAGAAAAAGATAGTGTCACTCCATGTACCTTAACTGTGGCATTGTTGTAAGCTTTTATGAAAGGTCTTTGCTTTTTATTTCTCAAACAGGATTTCAATGAAGGTTCTGTACTTGCATGTAATTATGTGTAAATTCAGCCTTGTTTTCTTTTACATTTGCAAATAAATTATTTGTATCTTAATGTGGTGTAGATCCAGAAGGAAATGGCAGACAAAGACACAGTAAAATCACAGCAACAGTAGGTCTAGTTGTTCATGCCGCAGGTAAGTGTTAGTTTTGTTTTGCTAAGGGTTTTTTCATTTATTATATTCTAAGTGGCTAAATAAAAAAATTCTAATTTTCAACCACCAACCCTCAAGGCGCCAGCTTTTAAGTCCATCTACATTTTTACATGACTGTACAAATGATAAGTGAAGCTTGTTTGTTGACTAACATACTAAGCTGTATCAATGGTAGGTTATGGCATTATCATTACTTTACTGCTCCAAAAGAAATCTATGATTTAGGAAAGGAAATTGTAGCAGTAGTGTTAAATAAATACATAGCCTCAAGTGGACCTTTGATGATGACCTTTTTTTTTCGGTAGCTGATGGTGTTGCCCTTGGTGCAGCTGTTACAACATCAAAAACTGAAGTTGAAGTAATTGTGTTTGTAGCTATCATGTTGCATAAGGTATGGGTTTTTTTTTTTTTGGTAATCTTGCCTGGTGTGAAATTGAATTTGTGTGTCCTCTTGGGGAAGGAATGTTTTGCTTACTATGAAAAGTAGTCATTGGTCTTCTGCTCAGTGAAGTCTCCAAGGACTAGTAAAGCATTGCTAGGCTCATTTACAGTACATATAGTTTATTAAATTCTGGTAATACTATTTATTTCTTTTTTTAGGCACCAGCTGCATTTGGTTTATCAACATTTCTTCTTCATGAAGTGAGTCTATCATTGTGTTTACCTTCTTGTAATATTTTAACAATTTCTCAATCTTTTTAGAATCCAATGTTCAGTCCTATTGGCTGGTGGAATTGCATTATTTAATAGCAATGTAAGGCACAATGCATGTGCATTTACAGCCTACTTGAACACCATCTTCCTTATTTTAAGTCTTAATTCAAGTATTTTTCATGGCTCTTCAGACACAATACACACTAATTGACTAATTGTCTGAGCTTTGTCAGGCTTGAAATACATGTATTTGGCTTGAGATTTTGAGGCACAAACTGAGAGCAGTAAGGTCCCTGCCTCATGAGATAGTTCATCTGGCGCGACCCAACTCAGTGGATTAGTACTTAATCATATGATCACTAAGGCATGATTTGATAGTAGGGAGGGAGGTAGGCTGTACAAGTACAAAAATTTTTATAAGAAGACTTTTTGTTACATCTTTGATCTCCTGTTCCGAGGCACAAAGCAACAGAACCTCAAAAGTGCTTACCTGACAAGACTACTTATTCCAGACTAGCTCCTGTCAAATGGTCTGGCTTTACACGCATGAGCTTTCTCTTTCTCTGAGTATTGAGCTGTATAGGTCACATTATAGAGATTTCTATTATTTGTTATTTATTTTGGGTTTCTGTCTCAGGGTCTTGTTAGAACTAGAATACGTAAACATCTTATGGTGTTTGCTGCAGCAGCACCAGTGATGGCTTTGGTGACTTACTTTGGTCTTAGTCAGGTAATAAAGTAATAATCATGATGCTATTTTATCATTTTATGGCAAAGTTTGAAGTAGATATAAATTCCATTGACTCTTTGACCCATAAGAGTGACTGGCATTTAATCTCTCCTTACAATATCACCCCTAAATCTCATGTACAGGTCACAAGAATAAAGGAAGTGATGAGAACTCTAAGAAGCTCTAGTTTAAGATTGTTTAATTATTCCTTTTTGTGAGCACCTTAGAATGTGTATAGAGAACAGTTTGGGGAATATTACACTGATGTTAGGGTGTAAAGGATTAAGACTGTTTTTAATTGTAATCGGTTTTGATGTCAGTGAGGTACAGTATATTTAATTTATTTCAACAAAAATTTTCTGAGATCCATTGTTTACATTTCACCCTATAAAGATCCATCTACTGCCATTTATTTGTATTAGCCAAGAGATGAATGATTTCATGATGGTTTTTCTTATCGTTTACTCCAAACAGAGCAGTAAAGAAGTACTATCCAGTGTGAAGGGGACTGGAATAGCCATGCTGTTTTCAGCGGGGACATTTCTTTATGTTGCCACAGTTCATGTCCTACCAGAACTTATGAGTATGAATACGCATTGTGACAGTAGTTCAGACCAAGGCCGGTCTGAAAAAATGCAAAGGACTGATCTTTTCTTGATGGTGTTTGGAATTGTGTCACCTCTTTTACTTTCCCAAACACATAGCCATCATTAATGCCTCTGTTATTTTTACTGGATTTGCATTATGTTTTTTCTTGACCTCTGTGCCATGGTCACACAGTAACCATGTGAAAATATACAAAAAACTGAAACCCCAAGTGTGAGCATTTTGCTTTGCATGTACACAGCAAGTGCATGATTGTTCAGGGAGGGGTTTCTGGACAGGCCTTTCACATGTGCAGTGAAGTTGTTGTAGGTTCATATTACTATCCTTTATGGATAATGCCTTATGTGTAAAATCTTGTAAAATTCATTCAATACTTATGTATGCATGAAGAGGGTTTGTAAAAAATACGGAATTCTTGAAAGCATATGGAATTTTGCCACTAATAATGATTTTAAGACCCCTAAAAAGATCAAGTTTTGAAATACAAAAATTCAGGAGTTTACTCTCAACCGATAGCAATTGCTAATTGTTTGTTGGAGACTACGGTATATCAAGAGATCTTACCTTGGCTAAAATGTCAAGTTACTTCATAGCTAGAAAGGTCTGAGAATTTTCAATTCAGATACAAATGCACAACAATTCCTACTAAGTTCAAATTAAGTGATTTATAATAGTAACAGGACCAAGTGGAGTAATTCCATCTGTAATCACACAGTACCAGTGATTAACAAAATTGGATGACTGCTAAGCGAGAGTCCAATTTGTCAGTCACTTGTATGATTACAGACAGAATTGGACGACAAGAAGTCCTGTTCCCAATTAATCATAGCCATTACAATTTCCAAAGACAACAAATACATTTTGGTCAAATATCTCTGGTAGAGACAATGTCTAAAGTAAAAAAAATTTCTCCATTTTAGAAATTCCTCAATTCATTTTAGACTTACTGGTTGTTCCTATGGTTATTGTGATTAATTCTGTAATTAGTGAATTTGGCTGAGTGGACTTTTGGCTGCCTCAAATGTCCAATTACAGGTGTCTGATTACAGCCAACTGTCCATTTACCATTTATGCCATCTGATCACAGCTGTACAGATGGATTAGTGAAAAATAAAGCAGCTAATACACCAATTACATTTGAGGAAATGGTAATGGTTATGATTAGACTCATAGCTTTTAAGAATGAAGATGATGTTTACAACACTCTTAGATTTTGTAAACAAAAATGTGTACAATTTATGGGTTTACTAGTAGGTCTATTAAAGTGGTAAAAAGACTTTGCTGACATGGGGAAAGAGAAGTGGAGGGTACAGTGTTGCCTACATTGGAAGAATGAGACATCATATAAAAAATATATAATATATAAATAATCTCATGCTGCCTTAGGTTGGCCTCGGAATGTAAATGTATGTGTGTGTACATTAAAACACTATGAGTTAATTTATAAGGGGTCATGCAAGCTAGGGGGGAAATGCTCTTTGCAAAATATTAGAGATAAGGTACAGCTTTTTAACCCTTTAACTCCCATCCATGAGTGACCAAGACAGAATTTCTCCTCACAATATCAATACAATATCAAGCAGATAAATGATGAGAATAGAGAAAAATCATAACTAGGGGATTATTAGTTGAGCTAATACCAAATTCTCCAAACTAACATCAGAGGAACCATATGGCAGACATGAAGGAGAATTACTAATAAGATCTTAGGAGTCAAAGGATTAAATCAATAAGTACAGCAAGCTTGGGAAGATGGACCTCATCTGATGAATAAACAAAATCAAACACACTTATTTATTTCTTGACTTGAGAGGTACTGTGAAATAATCATAGGGAAAAGAGACAGAAGTAGTAGTTGACAGCATGTATTGCCAATTAAATTCATTCTATGATTGTACAGAAACTTGACCTGTGGAGAGACTGTCAGAACATGCAATTGCATTCCATCATTTTCGATTGGATTCCTGTTTGCTATATGTGCTCAGAGTGCTATTTGGTCTATGTTCTGTGAACTGTATCAAGCACATGATCAGGCACTAAAGTAAAGATGCATTGCAGTTGTGTGGTGAATTTCACAGAAAGCACAATACAATCGACTCTTCTGCAGTGTTTGATGCAATGGTAAACGGCCCAAATTAAGGTCTTGTCAACACTTTGTTAAACAATCAGAGAACACAACAACCACAGGGGATCACTGTGAATACATGTAATAATGGTATGATATGCTTTTGAGAAAGTACAGAGAAGTAATGACACAGCATTTTAGAATCATCTGTTAGTTTTATGGTGAAGAGGAGAACTCAGCCCTAGAAGTACATCTAATTTAAATTACAATTTGTTTGGCTTGAAGAGCATTTTGAAAACATTCTCTCTTTGTTGTACATAATGCACAATTTCTTTAAATCAGTGTAGATGGTAGGCATAACTGTATTTTTGATACAAAGTTGTATCCTCTTACTTTGCTACAAGGCAGTACAGAAATGGTGTAAGCCTTTTCAAGCTTGTTCAACTCTTCTTGGAGATGGCAATAACTATTTTTTTTCAGAGCCTGAGTTACATCTTTCGTTCTTCTATGACCTTTAAACTCCCAGAAGTGATTGACATGCACTTACTTCTTTGTATGATATCCATAAATTACCCAGCAAACAGGTAACGAGAATATTCAAACTTATCAGGTAGAAGCTGTTACTTTGATTAAACACTAAATTTTCATAATTAATTTGGAAGGAAATGTCTGGCAGCTACAGTAGAGAAGAAAATTAAGAGTTTAACTCTTGCCTCATCTATGCACAGCCCAGATTATGTTGAACAGATTCAGTAAGGGCAGAGCTAGAAACCAGGTTGGGTTGAAGGTAAATTTAAGCGAAGTTCAAACCATGCTAATTGGACAAAGTTTAAATTTTTTAATAGAATATATACATTTTTTAATTTTGTGTTACTTTCTATATATATTTTTTGTGGTGGTATTCTGATGATTGGGGATGGGGTCAGCACATTTAAGCCTGCAGGCTGTTTAAGATGAAACCAATCCTGTTATTAAAATTGGTCAGCACATACATTGTAACATACTTGCTTTATTTCCAAAAAAAATTAACTACAATGATACATGTAGTATTAACAGGGTAATATGCTTCTTAGATCCAATTAAAGTTAACCTCTTGAAGTAAAGTAGTCCCCTTAATACTAAATTTGTTATTATCCTCAACATTACGAATTCTACATTTATTGCAGCAGATACAATGAAATTTAATATATCAGTATATCATTTTTTACATATGATTATTTAATATTTTTGTAAAGCCATAATAATATCCTACAGTTCCAATGTTGAACTGTATTGTTGGTATTATAAGAGAAAAACCATCAGTGGGATCCAGTTACAACTCTACCTCATTTGGGTGAAATGATTTTGTCAAATAAACTAAAATAAAATCATGAAAAAAAAATAAGGGAAAACATAACCCAATTTGATGAGAAAAATGGTTAAAAGTTCAATATCGTAGGCAATTGTGTGTTATATGTACATAAGGAAAATCCTATAGGTTATAAAAAAGTTAATAAAAAGAATCATACAGTGTAATAATTCAACCCTTTAACTCCTTGTATGGTGGGAAGGGATGTTAATTCTTACAACTAGGAATTAGGTCAAATTTTCAGGCTAAGCCAAGAAATTTGTAGTAATAATCATATCTATTCCAAACCGGAGCAAGTTTCATTTACATCTTGAGTTAAAGCGTATATACAAGAGTATTACCAAAGCACAAAGCGCGCTTGACTTACTTTTTTTCCCTCAAAATACTGCTTACACTTGTTCAACATCTGTACTTTGTTTATTCACTCTGTCACTAATAATTGTATTTTCATTTCTTGACTCTGGGTAGAACTGTTCCACTGCAGAGTGAATTTTTCTTTCCAAGCTTACTCTTTCCAAGCCTTTGAATGATTTTCCCTCAGTTAAAAGTTTTAATAGTAATGCTGGAAGAACCCCAGTGAGAACTACGGCGATGACGGAGAAAATAGCGGAAACGTTATTTTCACTTCCGTAAAAAGCAATTGAATATACCACTAAAAACAAAAATATCAAAATAAAAGCCATATTGCGAAGCATGCGACAAATTTCAGATTTAACTGGCAAAACTCTGCTGCACACAAACCAATAAAGCCTGGTCGGAATTGTGACGTTGGAATGAAAGCTTCCGGTATTCTTATGTAATTCCCGTCGACATGTTGATATCATCCCCTTGACCTCTTTGTACCTGTTCTGAAAATTAGCGTAACAGAGATAAATGTTTGTAATAATTACAAGGACGAAAGCTGCATATGGCGTTACATTATTTGCGTTTAGGGCGATTCCCATGGTAGTATACGCTACAGTATTGGTAAAAAATATAAAAGAAGAGGTCAACAAAGTTATGGTCAAACGTAAAATTACACCAGAGCACGTGAGCAAAAACCCAATTGTAAAAACTCCAGTTACCCTCTTCAAAACACGGTATTCGCCAAAAACTCTGGTCGGTCTATGCCATGTCTTTAAAGAAAAAATGAAAAAAAGGGTATTGAAAGGTGACAAAAAAAATAGAAAGTAAACTTGCATAACAAGACAGAGGAAGATGAAGAATACTTCACTAAAAATGGCCAAAAGTAGTATAAGAAAAAAAGAGACTATGACCCAGACAACACAAAGTGCACTCCTCATTCGGGAAACTTTACGCTTACTCATTGTTATCGAACACGTGAAGGTACTAAACAGCGTTTTTAACTTACGTAGAAACCAATTTCTAAAAATCGACACCAAATTATAGACTCCATATTTCAGTAAGTTCAAATGAACACGTATTTCATCTCCCACTGAGTTTCGTTCGATATCTAGTAAAGAAACGCGAAGCACCTTAGATACTCTACCGCAGAAACAAAGCCTTGTAATCTGATTTGATAGTAATAAATCTTTCGGTCTTAAAAACAAAACAAGCAAAAGATACACACATATTGAACCGGCAATGAATGGGACGGAATTAAATAAACCACGGTCTACTTTTTTCCTTAAGGTTTCATCCACGTGTCTTTTGTTTAACGCTAAAGTGAGCCCCAACTGAACGTAGATAGTAAGTGGACAAAGAAAGACGAGCATAAAAGCTAACTTAAGGTTGAACGAGAACCTCGAGTCGGGCAGTCGTTGAACAACTTGAAATAAAAGAGTTGAAATAGTCAACGGAGTGGCATCATCCACGGCAATTCCATCGTCCTCCTCATCATCCTGATTGATTTCAACGTATTCATTTCTTGTGTGATGCAAACGATCAGCGTGTGGACCTGTGTCTTCCGTAGGGCGATATTCGGCCTTGTCACACTCTCGCTGAAGGCTAAATATATAATCTGGCAGTGCCAATGGAAACGCCGGAAAAAAAAGGACCAAGAAAATAGCAATGAGAGTAAGAATGGTTTCGAGCAGCTCTGTCCAGTGGCTCATGCTAACAGTTTGATCACACAGGACCTGATGAAATTCAAGATTGTTAGGCGATATTCTACAGCACTGATACTCAAGATATTTATCTCCTGCACCCTTTATGACCTTTATCATTCTCACACAGACTACTTGTGACTGTAAATCACTAGAGTTTTTTGTCTCAACGGTTACATATTCTAACAGCATTTTTCCAATAGCCATGTTTTGGCTGGATGAGTTCAAACTCGCTACACATCCTGTTGGTTTATCCGCCAAATGCACGTCCAGACTTGTCACCTGATACTTTAACAATCTCAGTGATAAAACATCATAATTTTCGGGCAGAGAAAGCATATGTTCCTTGATTGACTTTGCCCAAACCCATCTTTCTGGAAGAAATTCGTCCGCTAACTCCAATGGATGGTAGCTTCCGTTTCCAATCTTCAAATTCAAATAAACCATTTTCACACGTTTTCCGGATGCTTGGAGGCGAAATTCCGTGGAAATATCCTTATCAGTGGGTAAAAGTCTGCAGTCAACATCCCGCTCGGCAGTTAAGAAATGTATGAAGGGGTAAACGTATAGTAGAGAGAGGCACATGACATGTAGAGACATTTTTCCACCGATACTTCCGGGTTCTACAGGACAGCGATAATATTCTTAAACTTTCGATTTACAGTTACTTACTCTAGATTGGTTTCTGCTTTTGACTTGTTAAGACGTGTAGACCACATGATCTTTATTATTTTGTTACTTTGGAAACAGGACGAGAAAATAAAGTGTTAATGACCTCTTTCGCAGCTCTCTCTCTCTCTTCCGTCACGCATCCTAGTAGGCTGGAAGTCTTCCAGGCTCTCTGGAAAACTAGATTTCTAATCGGCATCAGCCGTATTTAGATCAAAAATCTTAGAAATCAGGTCTTATTCAAATGAAAATTGTGAAAATTATGGAATCTAAATCCAAGCTATAGCAAATGCTAATTGCTTGTTGAAGACTGAATTAGGGACCTTACCTTGGTTACTGAGATCTTAATAATAGAAAGGTCAAAGAATTTTCAATTTTGATGCTAATGCATAACAATTCAAACGATTTGGTCCATTACCCCAAGTGGAAAATAAACATAATGCTTACGATAGTTTTAGATTTTGCGCACAAAAAAGTACAAGTTATGTGTTTGTAGAAGGTGTATTCGATTGATGAATAGGACATTGAAAAAAAATATTTATTTCCTTCCGAAAGCCAAACGGGATTATTCCTTAGATTACTCTATATTCTTGTTAACCTTTCAAGCTTATGTTTGCCATATTTTACATAATTCCCTGATCATGATTATAAACAAAAATCATGGTTTAAGTCGCAGAAATAGAACTAGTGCTTGTAAAACCCGAGTTTGAAAGAAGAGGGATACTCAAGTCCTTAGAGATACGAGAAAATCTTCCCCTGCAGATGCATCATTGAATTTAAATCCCATAAGTTAATATTTGTAGTACCTCCTGATTCTAACTCCTATTGTAAATGTATCCTCGATGTTATTGTCATTTTTTATCATTTTTAAATACAATCGTACACGCATGCATCAAAGCTGAAGAAACCAAATTAAGAAGAATATTTCTTTTCAACTCTACGCCTTCGAATTACAAGGACACCCAGAACCTTATTGATATGGCGTTCCGTCCGGCTTGTTTGAGATCCTCAGTACGCAAAGTCCTCAAAAATCGTAAATAACGAAAAAATCGTCTCTATTGTATCGTTTAAAGACATCACAGTACAGCTACGGTGTACCTAAATTTTTTTTACGAGCGAAGCAACCGACCCATTTCTTCTGATTGATCGATTTTTTTCTTAAAGCTTGTCTTAAGTACCATCCTGATGGACATTTC